CATCCAACCAAAGGTGTTATATGTATGTATTCCAAAGTTACCCAAATTGGGAAAATTAACACCACTTGTTGGCTTCCAGTATTTAATACTCAACAATAGATAAGCATGATGATATAGCTCCAAATTTAGAAGACCAAATGCTCCCTCATTAACTGATAATTGCAATTTCTGTAAATATATTCTCAGAATTGAAGAACCCCATAGAAATTTTCTGAACAAAGAATTTATTTTCTGAAAATATTTTCCAGATATTTGAACAGGAATTCCTCTCAGAATATAAATTAATCTGCGAATAATATTCATTTTGAGAACATTCACCTGTCCCCAAAGAGTGATGTTTAATGACTCCCATCTACCCATATCTAAATTGCAATTTCTGTAAATATATTCTCAGAATTGAAGAACCCCATAGAAATTTTCTGAACAAAGAATTTATTTTCTGAAAATATTTTCCAGATATTTGAACAGGAATTCCTCTCAGAATATAAATTAATCTGCGAATAATATTCATTTTGAGAACATTCACCTGTCCCCAAAGAGTGATGTTTAATGACTCCCATCTACCCATATCTAAAGAAACCTCTTTAGATATTTTATTTACACTAGATGTTACTGAGTTACGTCTTTCGGTATGCACATACCTAAATATTTAATAAATGCGGTATAAATATGAAATTGATATTTCTTAAACGGATGGGTAACTACATTTTCACCTACTAGCATCAATTCCAATTTGGACCAATTAATAGAATATCCTGCAATTTTACTAAAGACATCTAACAGTCGCATCAACACTGGAATAATAGTATGAGGTTTAGTAATAAAAGAATATCATCTGCAAATCAAACCAATTTGTGTTCAACTGAAGAAGTCCACATATCTTAAAGTTACCAAGGTTGAGAAACACTGCTCTAGGCAATGGAGGCTCTGCTTCCAACATCAGCCTGGGGTTCTTGGCAGGCCAGCTTCCTCTTGCTCAGCCAATAGAAGAGAGGCCTACTCTGCTGAATTCCTTTGTGCCACCTGGACAAGTCCAGAAGTAAAGCTCTTGGCCAGCCAATGGTGATGCACACAAGCAGCTGTTCTCTAGAGCTGGTGTGATGCTGTTCCATCACTCACCTCTGAATATGAGTGGAGCAACTGTCTCCCTTACAACTAAGCTCCTCCTGTTGAACACTTTCTGCCTGAAAGGGGTTTGAGGCTAGCACTTTACCTTAGCCTCCAGGCCATGGGCAACTACACTCATCAGTTCCCAGATAGGGCCAATAGGGAAGAGTGAAGACTCCCTTTGGCCAGCAACAAGCTGGATTATATATCATGTCAATTGATGTATACCTTTGTTTATTTAAGCAGTTTATTTGGGCAATTTATATGGCCACCCAACTCGCTCACGGTGACTCTGGGCAGCTTATAGAAATAAAACCCCAGATACAAATTCCTTTATGTCCCCCCACCCCCTAGCCACTGAGTTGATGGGAGTCAGGCACTACCACTCCTCCATTACCCACCCCTTTCACATATGGCCACTGATGTTGTTGGGTTTATTTATGAAACTGATATGGCTGCCCATCTTATATTCCATAATTCTCACAGCAACAATAAAAACATGCAAGAAACAATGAAAAAACCCAACATCCCCAAAACCAGCACCTAAAGCAACATTCCACAATAGCAAAAAGAATCATTGGGTGCCAGTTTCGCCCAGTCCCAATGCTTGGGGGAAGAGCCAGCTTTTCAAGGCCTTCCAGAAGGTGGGGGGGGGGGGGGTCAGATCTCAGGGAGAGGGTGTTCCACAGGGCAGGGGCCACTACTGGGAAAGCCCCTTTTTTAGATCACTAGATGACACTCTGTAAGGGAAGGGACCGGGAGTGTGCCCACTCTATCTGACCTGGTGGAATGGGCAGATACCCTTGGGGAGAGGCAGTTCCACAGGTAACCTGGCCGCATGCCATGCAGGGCTTTCAAGGTGGTACCCAGAAAAAAACTGGAAGCCAGTGCAGTTCACACAGCAGGTAAACTGAGGTGTACCCAGAACTGCATGTGCTGCTGCATTCTGGACCAGTTGTAATTTCCTGATAGTATTCAAGGGCAACTCCATGTACAGCATATTGCAGTAATCCATCTGGAAAGTGAACACGGCATGACTATCAACAAGGTTTCCTGGTCCAGGAATGGGCGCAGTTGGCCCCCAAAGTGCCAAAATCCCTCCTATCCATGGCTGCCCCCAAGCTTATGGCAAACAGCTGTAAGTCCAGGAGAATCCCCAAATTGCACAACTGGCAGTCACTGATTTGCAGCCCCTGATCCAGCTGAACAAGCAGGATGTGCTGGCCTTGAGATCACATGTACACATTTCAAAATGAAGATCTCCGTGTTGGCTGAGGTTGGTTCATATGTCATGCTCCTCTGCCTCCATGTTGTCCTTCCATGTGAATACACAAGACACAGGTTTTGTGGCTGTAGCAAGCAACCAGAAGATACCATACCAATTTTCTCCATTATTATAGTGCTGTTTTGTGGTGGGGAATGTCAGATTCAGCCCAGCATGGCCAAGCAGCGACACTGTTTCAGTTTCACTGCCACTAGTCAGTTTTGCCACCTCAGGAATAGGAAAGGAAAGAGAGAGCACACTGGCATGTTTCCGTGAGCATCCTCATCTCCCTAGAAGCCTGCCTCAGGCAACAGCCAACGGTTGATGACCAAATTGCCCAAACTCTGCCAAGCCAGTACATAGCTGCCAGCTGTACCAAAGTAATTTTGTTCCTGGAATCAGAAGCCAGCTTTCACACAGAAAATGGTTGAATGAGGGCCCTGGCAGATGCAGCACCTGTTGCTTGCATAGATTTAGTTCTTTTGGCCAAAAAACGTGGAAAATTTCAAGCTCCGTTTCATTGGGACATACAACTCTCAAGTTGCTTCTCCCTGGTTGCTCCTGATGGAACACTTTGGTTCCATCCTCAAAATCAAAAATATTTCCTGTTTCACACCCACCCCCCATACCCACCAATGGAATTCTCAGAGGAGCAGGCAGTTAATAGGCAGCTGGACTAGTAAAATCAATTATTTAGACACCTGTCCTCACAACGAAACCTTTACATACACTAAGCATCATAAAAGCTCTGTAGCTTTCCATAAAAGTTATTAAGATAGTTGAGTAATAAGATGTCTGAAGCAGTTTTTTTCAAACTCACTCAGACTGGAGAACCTTTAAAAAAACAAAAAATTTCCCAACCCCCTGACCAAGAGGCAAAACTTTGGGATAGAAGATTGGCTGCATTCAAGTGAACTTCCCCCCCCCCCCCCCCC